AAAAAAAAAAAAAAAAAAAAAAAAATCAAAAATACTGAATATAACGTATAATTAACAAATAATGAAAAAAGTCAAACTCACCTTATGTACAGGGGGCTCCGGTGGCACAATATGAGCGTTTTCTCCATGTTTCTTAAGATAAGGTGGCCTATCCGGTTGCCGAAAAAGTCTACCATCCTGAATTACAAGTCCTCGATCGACTGCTCTTTTAGCAGATAGTCTAAGCGCTGTTCTCAAATCACCTTCCGCTTCTTCCTCAACTGTATGACTTTGTCTGATATATTTTTCGATGTTCTTCAGGGTTGATCCCTCCCTTTCTCCCAATTCTCTAACAGCCTTACCCAGTACTTTACTAAGATCGGAGGCCTTGCCAACCTTGAGCGGTTTCGACTGCAACCCACCAGGATCTTTGTACGAGGATTGTCCTTTATTAAAGATCTTGAGCACATCGCCACGTTTTACAGCAACTTCCAGGTGTTCAGCGATTTCCTCCTCGTGATAATTATGATGTTGTCGAATCGCGTGACATATCCGCTCGACACTCGGCCTCTGTTTCTGGCTGCGTATTTTTCGGATCGCGTCCAGGAACCAGGCCGACCACGTGTCAGCGGACTCGGGTTCGTCCATTTCTCGTCTCCGTCGGCCGTCTGCCGACGAAAGCGGCGGCGGCGACACCGGCGACGACAATCACGTACCAGGCCAGGTTATACACACCCGATGAACAATGCTCGACTGTCTACGAGTTAATTTTTACGAGCAGAGCTTATGACACTCACATTCTGCGCCTTTAGCATGCAGGATTTCGTACGAGTTGCTTTACATCTCCATTCCAAGGTCACATTATATTTCTTATGCTGATCCTAAAATCAGTATATACACATGACGAATTAATATCTTTCTTCCTGTTCTTTTTCCCCACCCTTCTCTCTCTTCACTAATTTACATATAATAGATATGCATCAGAATAGTTACATATCCATATTTTATTAGTCGTAAACTGCATGTTCGATTGCTATATGCGATAATATTATTGGCTGCAATATATAAATTATGAACAATTATTTGAACAAAATTCGACTAATTTGAAAATTTTTTGAATGAAAAATATTATATGTATATGATCATTTTATAGAAAACTTATTTTCCAATTAATTAAAATTAACTAAGACTCTCTCTTTAGTTTATCCATAAACATCCCGGATTCGATATTGAATTTATTATGTGTATCACTTATCATTAAACTATTCCATTTTTTAAATTATTATCAATCGATTGACCGATTTTCTTCTAAACGGTAAACTTTCTCCTCGCTTAAGCAAACCCGATATGCACGCACGCACGCACGCACGCACGCACACGCACACGCACACGCACACACACGCACGCAC